TAATCGCGTATCTTAGACTAAAATATCAGTCAGTAAACGTCCAACATCCAATTCATTTAGTGTAAAGACGCCCTCTACAGTCAGAGAAACACATGGCCCTTTGCAATGCCAACACATATGTATCAACAGATTCAAGTAATGTGAAAGTACATATATGTAGAAAAATGATATTCAGTATGGTTTTAATTTACTGATAACAAAATCAATATAGATACCAATAAACAATAATAAAGGTATAATAATTATAATGTTGAATTGGTTACCTTTTAGAATAAGTTTATTGAACCTGATAAGTTTACCAGGATCGTCGCTAAATTTTCAGGCTCGGTAAACAAGAGGGTAGGAATGCTCTTTACCGTCAGGCTTGAAACAATCATTTTCGGCTTCCGTTAAAGTGAAAAATCGTGAGTTGTCAGAATTTTCTTATCGTAATTCGTCACAGGTCTCAAATAATCCTTCGTATTTGACTATTTCATTCATGAATTAGTTTTATAGTGCCAAACAAGATTTTTTTTAGGTAGACGAAATGACCCTAAAACGGTCGTATGGAATTTTGATGTCCAAAAGTAGACAGATCGGACATGTTTTGACTTTTTTTACTGACTTCGTTTGTTTGGAATCAATTGTAACTATAGATTTAAACTATGACTGAAAATTTTTTTTTATGAAATAAACAACAATTTTACCTGGCGTAGCCGTGCGAAAAATGTATTTTGGCATTTCTCTTCGAAAAATGACTTGTCTAATGCAATAAAATGGCTTTGTAAACCTTCACATTTATCTCCTGAATAGGCTATTTAAAATATTTTATCTACTCTATATTTGGAAAAGTTTTGTGAAATTTAAAAAGTAGCAATTCTTACACTTTATACATATTGTTTCATTGATAAAAAATAATATGGACTCGCCCAGTGTCCAGCTTTGAGGTCATTTAAGTTACTGTACACATGCATTCACGTTCTGATTAAATCAATAAACATGTATAAAAAATAAACAGTTTTAAGGTAAACTAATAAAAATTATTTCAAATCAAATTGCGTAAGATTAAATAATAATGGCCGGTCCACATCATCATAAGTAATAGAGGTAAACTTGGTAGGGAGAAAATTGCAGATATTTTAAGTTCATTTATTTGCTTAATGACACAACAGTACAATGAAATGGTGGGAATTGTATAAGTTTCGCGATTGTGAGTACGATTGTTATTCATGTAATGTTTTAGTGAGTTGTTATCTTTTTGTTTATTTAATGTTCAAATGAATAAATTCAAAATTTGAGTTGAAGCAATTTCACAGCCAATATTTAAGTCAATATCTTTACATCAAATGCTATTTCATTATGTCAGGGAAACGTTCGAATGAAATGTCTTTAAAAGTTTTAAATATATTCAAAAGTAAACTGAAATTCTTTTTTTTTTTTTTTTTATCAGAATAGTAGGGATTTCTTTTTTTACCAACTATGGATTTAGAAATCTCAGTTTTGGCAAGAATAATTGCTAAAAAAATATTTGGTTGTTTTAAAATTAAAATTGTATTAGTCAGTTTCAATCCCAAGCCCTTGCAAGCTGATAAATGTGCTTCGGGGCAGTTGTACCTGATTTATACAAACTCTTTGTTTTGAACTGTAAATAGGCCTAAACAATAGGATAATCCCTTACTAAGAACATGATTTACATTCATTCTTCTCAATTAAGAACCATCAAATCCTACAATTTCATTGGCCGAGAGCACTTTGATATATATTCTAAATAATGTTTTAGTGAGGTGTTATCTTTTTGTTTATTTAAAGTTCAAATCAATAAATTCGAAATTTGAGTTAAAGCAAAATTTAATTTCACAGCCAATATTATGTCAGGGAAATGTTCGAATGAAAAGCCTTTAAAAGTTTTAACAATATTCAAAAGTTAAATGAAATTTCTTATTTTTTATCAGAATATTGGAGATTTCTTTTTTTACCAACCGCAGATCCAGAAATCTGAGTTTTGTCAAGAATCATAGCTAAAGAAAAATGTTTGGTTGTTTTAAAATAAAAATTTTATTAGTCAGTTTCAATCACAAACCCTTTCAAGCTGATAAATGTGCTTCGGGGCAGTTGTAACTCATTTATAAAAACTCTTTGTGTTGAACTGTAAATAGGCCTTAACAATAGGATAATCCCTTACTAAGAACATGATTTACATTCATTCTTCACAATTAAGAATCATCAAATCCTACAATTTCATTGGTCGAGAGCACTTTGATATATATTCTAATAATTTTGAGATTTTGTTTCACACAATCAACGTGATGATTGATATTTGTTTAACATCAAGTAGCAATAAGTTTAGATTATTACATGGCATTTTTCATATCAGACCCATTTGCAGCCCTAGTCATGATATCAGCCCTGATCTGATATGAAAAATGACATGTAATGATCTTTTTATCATATTCTTCAAAAGAAGAAAAACAGACAAGAACTATTAAAATTTTGTCTTTTTCTTTGAATTTTTAGATAATAATTTACAGACAAGCAAATACAAATTTCTTAACTTTAATTGTTTTTATTGATATATCAAGCATTTTATTTATCTTGTCACAACACTTATCGTGTTCTTAGTTATTGTCACCTCTCCTGTGATGGTTGCACCTGAAAACATGTGTTTTTCCTTTATAATTGTCATCAAGGATTTGTATAGTAACAAATACCATACAAATCATTGTTGTCGTAGACAATTTTCTGGTATCTAAATTTATGCATGAAGTTGTTGGGACTGGTACCTGTCTAGAGTTAGACTCAAAATTTTGATATGTCTTTCAAAACATGTTTAATCTTAATTTATTGTTACTCCACAACCATTTTGTAAAAAGTCGAAAATCACTTGCGGTTTTCCGCACTGTGTTGTCGTTTTTCATACGAATTTCTGGAAATGCAAGAAGTTGTATGTGATAAAATTAACGGACATTAACGGAAAGGCATGTGATAACATTCCGTAAGCAGTCAATAAAGGTTCGTTTATCAGGCCGCCGAGGAAATTCGTAAGAATCTGATCAATAAACATAGAAATCCTGTCATAACCTTTTAATATTTTTAAATGTTATTGAACTGTAAAATTTAAGTAATGGTTTACACAAGTACATGATAAAAGAATATGTGTGATAAGGACAAAGGCAATCATGCTCTGTATCAGCCATCCGTGATGAAATCAATATCAGTCACGTTTGCAAAGGCTTTATCACACCTCTAACCTGTATGACGTTAAGTCATCGATATCAGTCACGATTGTCAAGCTTTATCAAATCCCTTATCTGTATAACTGCACGTCATTCAACGTGAACAGATCTACTTAAGGTATATGATATGACATTGTCAATATGACACATGGTGTCAACCCTCAACCAATATATAATCCCTCCAGCAGAAATATTGGGATTATATTGGTGTATTGGGTTGATACCGATGTGGTATTGAAAAAGCAATGATAGGATATTCTGTATTGAGCATACAAATAACCATCAAAATAGTTAGCAACTTATAATCAACATTTACCTAAGACCATAATCAGCAACATTAACACAAGCCCACTTGGAAAGTTTTCTTTCGAATCAATAAAATTTTAATTTCATAGTATTTATAGTTACATAACTTTCCAAATTAAATTGTGGTTGCAAGAAACCAGCTAAGTGTTATTATTGACAAACTTTTTCCTCGCAGGTAATTCAATATGGTATGTCTGTAATACTACCAAATTTTCGTAAAGTGACATTGATGGCCTTTAAATAGTCATATAATATATATATATATATAGATATTCCGATGAATTGTTTTGATGACATAAAATGTGTGTTTTCAGCCGTGTATCACCTTCACTGGTGAACCAATGGATGGATCTGTCTTAGAATTGTTATTTGTTTAGACGCACTTATCAATAATTATTTCTGTGACTGCATCTTACGATCCTTTACGATAGATAATCTAGTTAATCTGCAATCATTTCCATCTTAATGGATTATATATCATATACTGTGTTACATCTCTAGATTCTACTGACGAGGAAAGGAAACACTAGGCCACGGAAAGCTGAATTTTTAGTTCATTCTAGGTCACCGAGTGGTCTAGAGCGCTGGCCACGGTGCATGCGGTGCTGTCTCGATATCACAATATCGTGAGTTCGAATCCCGGCGAGGGAAGAACAAAATGCGCTTCCGCTGATTTGCAGATTTAACATTGTTGTGCTAATATTTATAGTAATTGGGGGTAATTAGTTTAAGTATTTATTTAATTTACATCTTTGCATAGCTTTGTATGTTTAAGTATAATGTTTCGCTTAGCAAAGTTTTGTTACATTAAGCACATACTTATATCTGTTTTGTTACAGACAATGCGTGGTTCTGTTGTGCATTTTTTATGTGCTGACTTAGGTTGTTTTACGTGTTCGCTTTTATTCTGTGGTTAGTCACCACTTCGGTATTGACATGAAAGTATGAATTATTCTAAATACTAAGGATAATTTTATCCCAGGGATAAATACCCTTAGCCGTATTTGACACAACTTTTTGGAATTGTGGGTAATCAATGCTCTTCATCTTTGTTTGGTTTTCTTTACTTTTTTTACCTGATCGTCGCTGATGAATCTTATGTAGACGAACCACGCGTCTGGCGTATTAAATTATAAGTCTGGTACCTTTGATATAAACTATTAGCATGTCGAAATGTTCTATGGTATTGTTTATATGTGTATTTCTCTATCCGGAATGATCTTGCATTTATTTGTATTGTAGTTCTGTCATGTAATGTTGTCATTTTAGTGTTATATTTAACATTGCCACAAAAACGCCAGGTTTGGCTAGCCACAAAACCAGGTTCAACCCACCATTTTTTCTTATAATGTCCTGTACTAAGTCAGTTTGTAACCCGGATTTGTTTTCTCTCAATCGATTTATGACTTTCGAACAGCGGTATACTACTGTTGCCTTTATTTGTACCCTGCTGGAAATTTCCATCTGATATTAAATGCTTACCGTTATTTTGTCTTCTTCTGTGATCTCAATTTTCCTATTATATCCAAACAAAAAATCTATTAGTAATTGGGCCTCCTTATAGGGTTTTTGATTATGTGATTACTTGGCCATTTTTATGTCGATTATTTGATTACCAGACCAAATATTTCATGATTAATTGATTATTTGATAATCTAGGGCTGTATTTTTGATTATTGGATTATCTTATTAAAACAAAATTAATAATAATGTGATTATATTGGCAAAAAAATTATGATAATGTGATGACTTTTACACCCCTACGAGGGGCCTTGTAATTCAATGATTCAACGTATAAGAAACAAGCCATTAAGATAATAATAAAATTGTTATTGATCAATTGACTGATTTAAAAACAAAATAATAATGGTGGTAATGATTATGATGATAATAATTATAATATGAAATAAGTTTAATCCTCAAAAGTGCAATCACATTTAAATTCAGTGAACTAAATAATTGAAGTATATTGGAATGATATCATTGATTTACAATACGAATAGTTTTCAAATAGGATTGCTTGATATTCATCTGCATAAATTGTATACTAAATGACACTCATGATAATATTGTGAGAAGAGGGATATTTTCTGCCAAATTGAAATCAAATATAGTACTTTCTCGCCAATGAGACTGAAACGTTGAGTCTGTAAACTTTGATAAAAAGATTACAATTATTTTCGTAAAATATGTCTTTATCATGAGTTATACCGTTATAACAAGAGAGTAAAGTCTGTAGAACGACAAAATAACTCGTACTTCTGACTATTTGACTCGATCGTGCCTAGACATAAATGTATGGTACAACGGTCGGCCAAAACGATATTTAAATATCTACTGTATTATATGTTTATCTATCCAATAGCAAAGTAGTTTTTGTGAAGCTTGTTCTTTTTGTTGTTTAAACTAAATTTAAGAGAAAATTTTAAAATGTGGCTTTAGCGTCACCTTATTGATGTCGAAGTAACCTTGTGTCATCAAGGCTTGGTTAATTTTCACATTGTCTGAAGGTCCTTCTTGTGATGGTTACAAAGTGTTTAGTATTGGGATCGTATAATGTTTTATTTTAGGTGAATTTAAAGTGCCAATTAACCAAAAAACGTGAGTGTTCCTTTGACAAACTAAAGGGAAAGCTGAGACTTACTGCGCTGAAGCCCGTAATTTTATAATATAAATCGAATTATGAAGCAAAACGGTATCCATATTTAAAGTCTTTCTGTTGTGTGGATGTATAATTACCCGTCCACGTCCACTCTGTGTTTTTGTTAAATGTATTTCTATTTGTTTTCATCTGATGAGTTACTAGAAAGCCTTTCGCAACTGATTTTTTTAATTTGTTCTTTATTTTGTCTGTTACATCAATGTCCCAGGTTAGGAGGATAGTTGGCGCCTTCAAACGGTCTGTATGTGCAGGTCTCAAATAAGAGGCCTATATTTCAGTGGTTGCCGTTTGTTGCTGTGTAACATATTTGTTTTACGTTCATCATTTTGTACATAAATTAGACCGTTAGTTTTCTAGTTGGAATTGTTTTACATTTTGTCATTTCGGAGCCTTTTATAGCTGACTATGCGATATGTGCTTGCTCATTGTTGAAGGCTGTACAGTGACCTATAGTTGTAAATTTCTGTCTCATTGGCAATCATATCACATCTTCTTATTTCTATATCTATGCTTACTTTTAAACGTCAATTTTCCACCATACAAAAAGTATACTTGTTAACAATGATATATTAATGTTGGCCGTTGTATTGTTTCGATGTATTTCTATTTTTTTTATGAAATAACCATTTTACTCATATTTTTCGTAAAACTTTAGAGTAACAACAACCTCATTAGAACTTTGTTTAAAATCAAGATATCTTATAAGCAAAATATCTGTTTGAGTGAGTACATTTGTTTCTCATGTCTAAATATGAACGCCAAGATTTTAAAATGACGCAGATTTTACGCTTTTTCTGACACACAGAATGTGGGAAGGTATACAGTTAAGTTTTAGGAGAATATATCTATTAGAATTATTATAATTTCTTTCTATTTTAAGGAGTCCAAAAATTTGCTAGCTACCTTAAATCGTTAAATGTAATAAACATGAAAAAAAATTTACATCACACGTCTTTGATCCATTACTAAAGGCTTTAGAAAGGAAGTATTTATCCTTTTCAATATTCGCGAATAATTTCAATAATGATGATTGGAAGACTACTTTACATGCTATTTGTTAGTAATGGTCTACAGTAAAGCAGATTTTCAAAGATGCTACATTAAATAATGCTTACTTTAAATGTACAGAAAAAAGTGAAATCACAAAAATACCGAACTCTCAGGAAAACTTGGTACAGGCATTTTCTTATGTAGAAGATGGTGGAATAAACCTGGATTTATAGATAGCTTAACCTCTCACTTGTATAACAGTCGCTTAAAATTATATTATATTGACAACAATGTGCGAACAAAACATAAAGACATAATAGGTCAAAAAGTCAAAATCGGGGTAACGAAGGATTGCATAAAATTAAAATTCATTACCCCTTTGACCTAGCCGCTCCAATTCTTTCCGCTTCTTCTGTTGATTTCAGTTTCAGATCATAGTCTGCGTTGTACAGAAATACTAGGGTAAAAGAAAATGAACTTCTATACTTTACTTGTTGAAGGAAATAGTTTTAAGCTTAAGGTCCAACTGTTTGTTAAACAAAGGCCTAATACGTTAACACATATACATGGCATATTTAAAGGACATTTTTTGTGAACGTCAATGAGACAACTTCTAATAAGGTATGAAATGACACAACCTTTAATAAGGTTAATGAATGGAGACAAGCGTATGACTTTGTGATGTATAAATATCCCGCTACGTTAGGTCTGTTTTTGTTTCTTGTTTTATTTTTGGTGAAAAAACTTTCTGCTTTGTGTCGATCTGATGAGTTAAGCCCTTTTCAACTGATTTGTATAGTTTGTTCCCTGTTGTGCTGTAACACCACTGTCCCGGATTATGGAGAGGGTTAAGCACTCACAAACATTTTTAACCCTGTCACATTCGTTGTCGTTGGTTTATGTCTGTCATATCCTCGTCTCCTGGGTTTTCGTGCTATTAAGAATGCAATTGGACGTAACAACTTACATTGAAAAAAACATGCATAGTATGAATTCTTTACGACGTACGAAAACATATGATCTGACCATATCTGTTGTTTTTTTTTAAACTTGTTTTGTTATAAATTAGGCCGTTAGTTTTATCAATTGAATTCATGTTGGGGCCGTTTATACGGTATGGGTTTTATCGTTGTTGAAGGCAGTACGATAAACGTTGCCATGGTTTTCTAGATACGTTAAATTTTGTCATATATTCACAACGAAATGTCTGTCCTTTCTATATCAAACATAGGGAAAACCTTTTAATTGTTGTAGAAATTAAACCCCTTTTCCATGATTAACCAAAATTGTCTTATTCCTGGTATTTTTTATAATATAAAAGATATTGACAAAGTTACTTAATATAAAAATGAACATAATATATGAACTTGTGAATTAAAAAATGCAAATCTTTTAATTTTTTTTAAATTTTTCCATTTTTTCAGAAATTTGATTTTAAGGCCATTTGCATTTAAACTTTTAAAAATAAAGTTATATCTAAATAATACTATAAATAAAACAACTTCATTACTCTGTTTAAATAGCAAAACAAAACATAACAACCAATCCGATTTAAATCCGAAAAGTTTCATTTAGTGTCATCTTTAGTGAACACAATACCAATTTCCATGTTTGACTTTTGTGTCCATAAGGTCGGGTATGAACATTATCACTAAGATAATTTGTTTTTATTTGAACAAAATGAGTTTGACTGTCCCTCTGGTATCTTTCGTCCCTCTTTTAGTATAAAGATATATGATCTTAATAGTATCTGCACTCATTTAAGTTTTTACCTCGTACAAACATTGGATATTTCTTCAACTTGTCCCTCTCGTAAGAATTTGAACTGTCATGGGTATCTCTATGTTGGATTTTATTCAATCTTCCTTTTATTTTGAAGCAGCAATATCCAGTTAACCAAATGAAGACGTGGACAAGAAAAAAAGGTAACGCAATAGGCAGTAAATGTATCGGGAAAATGGGCTCTACGGTATACTCATCAAGGAAATCAGTCTGAAGCTGCGACCAATGAAACTTACATTCATCATTCACTTTTCGATATGTATCACTGAAATAATTCGTTCAGTATCAACATCAATAAAATATATGATATATACATGCATTGTGACTAATTTTTCAAATAAAAAAAAGTTTAATAGTTAATTTGATTTGACTATCCGATAAGTTTAAAGAATATGTGATTGTAACATTAGTTCAGTGATTCCATAGTGAAACATTTATTATCAACCGCTAAAATATTTTTTTCTGAAAAAAAATATTATACACAACTGATGAAGTGTTTCTATTTAACAAATGTAATACAAAGATTCTTTATAAAATCAAAAGAAACTTTTTAAAAACTTGCCTGTAGATTGCTATGAGCAGATTCAATAGTAAAATTACTGCAATCAATCCATATATGGCTTTCAAATATGGTGAAATGTGTTTACCAAATTCCGTAGGACATCTATCCTGTATACCATATTTGTAAATGCTTTTATCATTGGTACAATTATCTTCTCCTGAAATAAATCAATATGATTGAAATGATAATCATTGTGTCTTGTTTTGTCTGGCGGAGAAATGAAACAGAGGGAATTTATTTTAACTGATGAATTATGAAGGTGATTTATTTTGCAAACGATGTTTTTGAAGCATTCTGTAATATAAATATGTATTTGTTAAAATATATTGAGGTTAAATTTCATGGAATATTCGACTTTTTTATGTTTTATCTTATTTGCGATTTAAAAGGACAAAAAGAATCTAAACTAAGTTCAAAAAACATTTTAAAACATACCTTAAATAATTTACACAAATGTTTAGTACAACTTTGGCATTTATTACATAATAAGATTTTCGCATGAGTTGCTTTTCTAAGTTCCTTCGACGTTGTAAAGTATAAACACACATAATGATAAAGAAATGATTTACAATTAAATGTATAAACTACTTTGATTTCAAGGATTGAATACTAGTAGTAAAACTATTTTCTTTATATAACCCCGCATCAAAAAAATACTTGGAAGCAATGACTTGCAATTGGGATGAAACAATAAACGAAAACCAAATATGACAGACAGCAACAAGGGATAACCGCTGAATAACAGGTTTCTGATTGGAAAAGACACATACGTTTATTGCAGGTTGTATCCTGCCCTTATCAGGGACAGACGCGTAACATCAAGTTTTAAGAACAAACTGTTAACATCAGTTTGAAATGAAAGGATGTAGAGTTGATGAATCGACATATCGAAAGACAGTTGGTATTCAAATGGATACTAACTGTTTACTCATACTGGCTGCATATTGTTGAACTCATATGAAGCTGATTTCATTTAAAACCTTCTAAAACAAAACAAAAAAGAAAATAATATCTTGCTTAGTTCGTAAAAGTCATTTTCAGATATATTAATGATGTCCTGTCACTGAATAATCCACATTTCAGTAAATGCCTGCAACTCATATATTCGAGTCAACTTGAGATTAAGGATACTACCGAAAAAAGAGTATCCTGCATTTCCTTATATAATATTCGATTATGACATAAATGGAAGACTTTAAGCTAGAATTCATGTCAACTTTCTATTTATGACTAGTAACATTCCCTTTTCCTCTGCGTATGGTGTTTACATGTCTGAATTGGTACGTTACGCTCCAGCATTTTTATACACTACATCACGTCTGTAGCAGGAATATGCGATTTACATTAATACTACTCCAACAGACATATGAGGATAAACTGCAACCGACCATATATAATATAACGGTAACGATCACAAATTAATTGACCAGTCTGGTATATCTAAATATCACCAAATGCGCATATTCTCTAAAACCAAATGTTTCCTATTCCCGATCGTGTCTTTTTGAATGAAATGAATTTGACAGGCGACTGGTGCATAGAAAGCAGGAGATGTTTCGTTTAACTCGGTTTCGTTCCCTGTGGAGTTCTTTCTTAATCATTAGTTTGTGTGGTTTTGACCTTCATCGATTGATGAAATAGAATATTGGCAAACTACTGTTGCATATACTGACTAATCAGATTGACACAAAGCACAACAAGAAACTTTACCAATATACACAAAAAGAAAACAAGATCTCGATTTTAGAGTACTACTAGCTACAAGCTTGATTAAACACATTTTAAACAAACAGTTGAACCATATTTTCCAGAAATAATTATAAACCAGTACAAATCGAACGGATTCAGTGCCAATACGTCAGGACAGGATTTGATATACTTGCTTAAATTACATATATTCTTGTACGTGTTTTCAAAAGTTTCTAATACATTGTTAGTGGCTGATAGAAACTTAAATCTTGCAACGTTTTGATAATGATTGGTTCTCATTTTCGTAATATTTGCAGTTTGTTATGGTGAATGGGTTTGTTTCTTTATTAAAAAAAATTGAAAAATCCCGTTATGTTAGTTAGATTCGAAAATTACCAATGACGGTCAATCAACTTAATGATCATGTGACTAACTTTCTTCTGTGTTTGATATTTTGCACTTATACATGATATTTAAATTGTAAATGGTGTAAAGCCTTTTCAATACACAACAACGTGTTAACATTGTACACACAAAGATATTATTTCCATATCTAAAGAAATTCCTATACGATTTAAATCATCAAAATACTACTTCCAATGTATATTTTAATGACTATTGCAGTAACGATAATGTACTGCTTAATATATTTCTCGGTCTCGAAAATATAAATTTAAGTTAGGAAAACCGTGGTCATACCAGGTAAAACTGTTTTATTCGAGAAGATTTTCAAAAATATTGATACGATTAACGGCTGTCGGTAGCGAATGCTGAATGATAAAAACGGCTTAAATAGCAAAATACGGATAATAATACAAAGTTAAGAGATGGGCTTAACTGTCTACTATTAAACCCACTTGTATCTAGGTTAAGTTCTTGAAATAGCATCCAAAAACCATTCTGCATTATTTTCTCTATCTCTTCCCAAGTAGGGATAGATTTTGGGTAAAGCAATGCATGATATGAAACGTTGTAGCTCATCATAATAACTAATAAGATAATCAAAAAGACAGACGTGTCCTTGAACTGCAAAAAGAGAAAATATTATCAGTTATATCGAATTATATTAAAACTGTAACAATTTTGTAAGATAAACAGTTATAAATGTATTATTTTGTTTGTTTCTTTCTTTGTATATGATGTTAACAATGATTTTGATTAAATCTAAATAATAAAATTTTTAAACAAGAGAAACTTATTCGTTTCTGTAGTTAAAACAACAAACCTGTTTAGAAATTAATATATAGGTGCATGCGGTGTTGCCATGATGTCACATAAACAAGGGTTTGAATCCGGCTGAGTGACAAAATAAATAAACCGTTGCAAATTTTTATTTCTAACATTGTTGGGCTAAATTTGAGAAGAATTTTATATATATATATATAGATTATTCTTTGAACAGTGAATATTCCAAAAGGAACATATTGTGATATTTCAACTCAGCACATGAGAGCTAACAACTTGCCTGGTGATATCCTCGTTGACAAGTAATCCACCAGTTCATTGCAATAAAGAAGTGAACCTTGATGGAATTATTATCAACATGATGAAAGTATTGCTTTATTTGGGCTTTCGCCCGACTTTTGAATTGAATAGTACAGATTGTAATTGTAAGGCCACGGATAATCACAGCATCTTGTGGTTGCTAAATTTTGTCTGTGTTTTTGTTTCATATGTATAAACATTTATGATAATATGACATCCTTATATACGACTAGGTAAACTCAATTTGCGACAGTTTATTGTACGTCAAGCAAATACAATACGGTTAGATTTATTCTAATGCAAAATAAACAAACCACTCCCTTTCCGTTATTATTTCGGTGTGAAATTTCATGTTATCGTTTTGTTAAGTAAATAAGGTGACGTCATACATATGCTTTTGGTGTCAAGTGTTTACACTTAGTGTTTCTAGTATTCTTGTTCGTTTCCGAATTAAATGAAATCAAGTAAAAAGAACCTTTTTAGGTGACAAATGTGAGATTAATATTTATTATTGAATAGTAAAATATTATTGATTTAATTATATGGAGGGTAAAACGGAACAACCAAAAACCGTATGGTGTGTAAAGAGTTCACACGATTGCGAAACTATCTCTGTCGCTCGGAATAAAATGAATCAAAATTCCTAACTCATGGTTAGATGAACAGATATGGATGTCATGCATTATTTATTCATCATTTCTTTCTTTAAATTAGGGTTTATCATCATGCTACAAGACTTGATATTGTTAGTTGCATTGTGCACAATTGTTTCTACCGTCAATATATATAATCATTCTTACCATTTTTTGAATTATCACAAGTTTTGGTCCAAGATATTCAGATATACTAAACATGTTTAATACACGAATGCTGAGTAGAATAAATACTAAAACAAAAAACATTCTGGACGAGTTTTCTTCAGCTTCAAATAGTAAAACAAATCCACTTGATAACGCAAACATAACTGCCCAATCTAGGAGATTCCATACATTACACATATACCTTTTAAATCTTTTTCTTATAACTGAAACAATTGCCTTAAAAGAGAAAATTGTTAAAATAAAATAAAATAAAACATTTATACTTAAATGAATAAATTTATATAAAGATAAAAATAACTTATGACTATACTATCAACATTTAAGTTGTATGTCTCAACCATATGGTTTAAGTAAGAAATTTGAAATGCTCATTTTGATTTTTTCTTTATTTACTTATAGTTGTGTCTTCCTAATGGTTTAAAGATATTTGAACAGCAGTAAACAACTGCCGCTTTAGATTAAATAATTTATTAGTGGAATTCATATGATCATGATTTCTTAGAATGTTTTCATTTTTAATGGTCTACATAATAAATATTTGCTACATTAAATTGAGCTCGATACACAAATTAATGAACTGGAAATCTACAGAAATAGTTATTGTTTTAATCATGGCAATACCAAAGCACCTCAGTATATTGGGTTAGTGGGAAGACTGTTTAATTGGAGACTAGTGGTGAAGAAGCACTGCTATGACCCGTTTTA